CTTTCAATTAGCAAAAGTGTTCTACTAGTAATTGAACTATGTATGCATATATTTTGCTTCTAGTGCATGTTTAGAAAGAGTGGTCTACTTCAGTGAACTAGTATTCATTTAACACAAGCTTGCTATTAAACGACAATTAACTACTGTATGATTGCAGGTCATTATTTTGCTTCTATTGTTTAGTAAAAGTGTTCTACTTGAGCTATGTATTCATCTAGCACTGTGGTCTGCTATTAAACGACAATTAACTACTGTATGATTGCAGGTAATTGTTTTGCTCCTAGTGCATGTTTAGCAAAATAGGTGTACTTCAGTTAACTAATATTCATTTAACAACTGTATGATTGCAGGTCATTATTTTGCTTCTATTGTTTAGTAAAAGTGTTCTACTTGAACCTATGTATTCATCCAGCACCGTGGTCTGTGATTAAACGACAATTAACTACTGTATGATTGCAGGTCATTATTTTGCTTCTTTTGTTTAGTAAAAGTGTTCTACTTGAACTATGTATTCATCTAGCACTGTGGTCTGCTATTAAACGACAATTAACTACTGTATGATTGCAGGTTATTATTTTGCTTCTAGTGCATGTTTAGAAAGAGTGGTCTACTTCAGTAAACTAATATTCATTTACCACTGTGGTCTGCTATTAAACGACAGTTAAACACCTGTCTGATTACAGGTTATTATTATGCTTCTAGTCTTTAGCGAAAGTAGTGTACTTGAGCAAGAATTCATTTGACACCGGTTTGCCATTAAACGACGTTTAAATACACTATAATTGAAGGTTATTGTTTTCTTTCTGTCCATGTTTAGCAAATGTGTTATACTTCAGTGAATTAGGCTTAGCACATAACACCGGTCTACTATCAAAAGACGATCAAACACTGTATGACTGCAGGTCATCATTTCGCCTTTAGTCGAGCAAAAATGGTCTCCTTGAAATATGTATTGTGTTTGGTAAAAGCGATTCTTCTTCATGAACGATGCCAGTGCTGATCACCGGTTTGTTTCAAAGCAATACTAGTTTAACAACCGAGTACGATTGCAAGTCATAAATCAACATTTCATCATTATACGTATTACTTATGATGCATTTTACGGAATAACTTTGAACGAACTTACGTAAGTCCGAACAGGGATTCAGGCATGCCGCTTTAATGCACTGTTGTTTTGCAACAGCCAATAAGCTACCAGTATATTCATAGATTTTATTTATAATTATATATAGAATTTTTTTGTTTTTGTTTTTTTGTTTCTTACTTTCTTCTTCTTCATTATTTTTCCATTTGTACATAAAATTTGTTGAATCCTAGCTATTTAGAAAACACGCCCATAAAAAGTGTGTACTCTGACTTCCTAGCCGTATAGAATTCTTAGCCGTTTAGGAAAGGACCTAAAACTGAAATCAGTGATGACTAGAGAAAAGTTTTAACAAATATCAATGCAAAAACTATAGAAAGCTATTAATATGTTAATAACCTGATGGTAGAGGTTTATTGATGAGAGCGCCAACTAAGGTACTTGAGGAAGCCCCAAAATATCGCCATAATCATTCAATGAAACTCTACGTGAGCCCAAGTGATATGCCACATGGCATTACTAGACCTCTGCATTCATATATCAAATATAATATCATATAAATTTAATTCTCCGTCCTTTTTGTAACTATCCTATATTATCTTTAAATTTCTTTTTTGATATGAAACATTATTCGTGAAAACCCCAGCGGAGTGAAACAGATAAAGCGGGGATTTTGAAATGACATTCAGTTGAGTTTCAAGTTGATTAATTTGTGAAAAATCATAGAGAAGTCGATTAAACAACTGATAACGATGAAATGTTATGCATTTCCTTTTGAAGCTCAAGTGCTGCTAATCTTGAGATCACGGCAGCGCAGCGCGTGTCCAAAAAAGAATTTGTACATTTATGAACTCATGCAGTAAATTTGAAATAGAAAAATCAAAGGTTAAGCTAGTTATTGCTGCTCCTCTGGGATGTATAGCCATACCTGTAAAACCCCAGCTATAGGTTCATAGGTGCTCAAAAACAGGGCTTTAGTTTTAGTTACATGAATCGAAATTGGCCATCGCCCCAGCAGCTTCCAACGCGTGTCTCTTAAAGAGCCTTTTGTTTCTACAAGGTCATTACGTGAATATCTGACCAGTTAAATGCCGATCTTTTATTTTAATCCAAGTCATTTATCATAAGCAATAGACAATTCATCTATTAAAGCCATTGTATATACCCACGAGGGAAGTTAAATGTTTTCTTTATATTTTCAAAATTCAGCTACAAGTGCGCCTTATTGAATGTTCTCGGGGAAACACGCAATTTTCTTCTTTCAAAATATCAAAAAATTTAAACTTCTTTTGGTAACTCTTATCGTCTGATTGTTCCTATTCTGATCGTAATAATACTATGAGATCATATTTCTGGCATAGAAATATTCATAGTACGAGATTCAAAAATTTCTTTTCTTTTCTTTTTTCTTTTTTTTTCTTTTTGTAACAGTTGTCATAGAAAGCTTTCTTAGAAGGTACACTTGTACTGAGAATTTCTTGTAAGATTTAACTGACACAATGTTCAAAAGTGCATCGTTGCAAGCTTAGCCTATAAGTCTATAGTTGGTTTTAATCATTACTGCAAAAACCCATTAATAGTTTTAATTGTTTTCCACCTACGATAGAAAGTTTATGGTTTTCCAAATGTTGCCTGCTCATTGTACTTAGTCATTAGTATCTTTGGGGTTTCAACATTGTTCAGCGATGTTTAGCCTCCCACGTCGATATCTTAGAATACTTTATTCATTAACTTGTTTTTATTTTGTTCAGATTGTTGGGTTTGGAATACGCGGTTGCTGAAGTGAAAAGTGCACATGTTGCATTTGCTTATAAAGCGGTTGTGTTTTCCACACACCTTGTAGAATTTATTAACTGTATAATCTCATAGATCGTTAAGATAATGGGTGGTTATTGATAAAGCACTTTTCAAAGAAAGAGGTACAAACCTTAACACTTCTATTTGTGAATATTTTCCTCTATTATCTATGCGAAGGGTTTGCTTCATTGCCAGAGGCTCACCCTCTACTCATCATTAGAATTAGTATTAAAGACCGTAGCTTTTGTGAATTGTTACCGGTTACACATTCATAGGTGTGGTCAAAATAATATAATTCGAGGTGTTGTGAGTCTGAGGTGTTAAGAGATTAGAAACAGGTGGCTACATAATTAAATACTACGCCTTATATTTAGAATTACATAGCTGCATACCTTCAAAATTAAGCAGTCTCTTTCTAATTTAGAAAACGAGCATTCAGATCGTAGGTATGTTCTAACTGTCTCGCTTTTGAATCAGTTTTGGTATAGATATTTGCTTTTTTTAATCATTGATTTTCTTTGTCTATATTTACCTAATTAACTGACCAATGTTCATTCRTTATCATGTATGCCTACATCGAATTATCTTTTCAACTCTTGTATCTAGCAGTACTGATTAATTAAAATAACTAGCTTGCTTATACAGTTTTCAAAATAATAATAATAATAATAATAATAATAATAATAATAATAATAATGATAATAAAGGAATAGAAAACTATCCCCGGCTAGTTTTGTCTCATTGACATTTAGTTACTGGTAAATTAAGACAGAGGTGTTCTTGAAAACCTCGTTTTGAGGTCATATGTGATGAATCCACAGACACATACATAAACTTGTTGTTTAATTACTTCAAAAATGTATAAAATTAACTAGTATTACATGAAACATGATAGAGAGATGTGGTATTATAAGTTAGATACTTCTAATTGTATTTCTCTTGACTATGGAGACTTAAAGGCGTGCGCTGAAGTGCTTTTTATGGCTTTAAAGCTTTAGTAATTAATATTCATGAACTTTAAAAATTTACACACTGTTAATGGTGACAATATTAATTAAGAGGAAACTTCAGATTTTGTTACAAAGCTTTAAAAAGACAAAGCGAGGATTATTGACAATTCTGATTTTGATCTTGCATTGGCTTTCAAAATCGTTTTCTTTAAACAAAATGATATCCTCGAACTTCACCTCATGCTCAGYTATATCATTGTACTCAGATAATGACACTAAAGTCTCGATATTTTACTTTCTAACTAGAAACATCATTAGAGGCTCTATCTTAAAAGCCAATATGGGGCCCGAAGTCCTTCAACAACGACTTTTTATATATAAACTTGTTTGAGACTAAATTCAATCAAAAGAGTGTTAATTATTTATCAAGGATGTCTCTGTTAAACATTAAAAAAGAATAATAAGAAGCATGGTGCGACAATAAAAGATTAACAGCCACGTCAAAGTCTCTCTTGGCACAGCACTGTGACAGAAAAAAATCAACTGACTATTGAAGAATGCACATCACAGCCGTATTCTCAGTATATTAGGATTTCATCAACACATTGACATTGCGGAAATGATTTTATTTCTAGGACGCTCATTGTTTTCTTCAATTCTGTTTCCACGTTCCACTCTGTGCTAATGATCTGACTTTTAAATATCATGTGTATTTTTTGTTGATATTGGCTGTGCCGAATCACGAAATAGGTAGACTGAAGCATTCTCTATTCGTACCTGAGTAAAAATATTTAGATGAATAACACTTTGACATATTTGCGACATCATTCATTATTCCTGAGATTTGCATGTTTAACTCCCGAAAATATAGTTGTTTTTCTTTTTTTCGGTTTTGGCTGACTTTTGGCCAAGTCTGACGCATGTCACCTGATGATATTCGTAATAGGATAAACCAGGTGAAGCAGAGCGGTTTCAAAAACTCTTATTTTCTTGTCGTATTGTTTACTCAGCTTTCTAAAACTCGTGAATCTTTCATAAAGCGAGTAACCAGTGATATAACTTAAATAGTTTGACAAAATAACAAAAATAACGAAGTCCATTAACAACTGATTGAATCTTGCAAGCTAATTAAAAAATAACAGGAAAGTACTTATGTTTAAGAGATATTCCTGAGGAAATCAGTCCAATCGACTAACAATTAGCTTCTGAATTTTTAATTGGCTCCTTACGAAAAGATACATAACATTTAATAAAATCGAATCCCAGTATCTAGAATTCAAGAGAAATTTWAAAAAAAATAGTGTTAGCCGGCTGAGAATATCGTTAAAAAAACTTTATGTTTTATTAGATGTTGAGTAGCTTGATGGAAATTCAAGAAAATAGTCTTACAGCCGGTCAACCCCTTGGAATGTACACATATGGAGACAGTGAGCCTGTTTGCTCTTAAGTTTTTTATAAAAATAATTTGAAATGATAATTCATAACAGCCGTGAGAAAACCACTATATGTTCCTTTGGTTTTCTCTCAGAAAATTCTCACGGCTTGATGCAAAATTCAGATAAAACAGATTCGGAAATCACATTTAAGTTCATTTACTCGGATGTTCTGTTCATTTAAACTGCTCCGGCTCGATATACCTATATGCATGGAAAACATTGAACACATAGAAAAATGGAATCAGCCATAGAATTTAAAAACAAAGGGAAGCCAAGGCTTTGCTGTTTTTTCCCCCTTTTTTCCCCACCGATTTCATACAGAAAGAAAGTTCATCAGAATTAAGGTTTGTATTGAGAAAAACTTTGCCTAGAAATTTAAATCCTTAGACGTTTTTGTGTGTAATGCAGATTTGTTCACTTCTTCGATTTTCAAAACTCCTACATTATTCTCGTGGAATGCCAAACCGCCTTAAGAAGAAATAAGGAAAGTCGGTACTTTAGCGGTTTCTTAGTACACAGTCTCGATAGATTAATATTAGACTTTTAAATACTTTATTTTGGGTTTTTTCCGTTAAAACATTAGCATCTTTAACACTTTTATATGCTTTCCACGTTTTTTTAGTTCAGTCTTGATAGAGAAATACTACTTTGATATAATAGTTTTACTTTTTCTTCTATTAAATAATCAGCGTCAGATATTATCGCCATATTTCAATTTTTTCCCCCAGCAATTTTTGTTACAGTCGAGGGTTATTTTTTAAAGGGAAAACTATTCATATACATATGTGCGTGTGCCGGTTAGCATTGCCCCAAGAATGATTGTGTCATTAATAACATACTCAATTTAGACGTTAGTCCAATGTTTCTACAACGATATTTTTGGTTGTTGTTATCTTTGTTGGAGAGTTCATAAAGACCTYTCACTGAGTCAATTTTCCAACTCGACTTCTTCATCAAATTTTCTGCTCAGCCAATCTTTTTCTCTTGAAAACACTGAGACATAATATTCATGACAATAAGGCTAATATTATTTTTTAAACAAAAATTAAATTTCAGATTTGTCGTTGAATTATAAAAGTTAATGAGTAAAACAAGATTGCCTTAGTAAGTTGTTGCTACGGCAGCCCAAAGCGTCTTTAAAAATTTAAGGTCTACAAGCAATTTTGACGGTATTGTACTGACACACTTTACTTACTTTACTTTATTATATGATATAATCTAGTCTTTTTACAAGTTGTGTGTTAATAATTCCATAGAATCATCTAGAGTTTTATATCTGTAGTTAAAAACCGAAAACTATCCACCCATCCCCCTCCCCCTCTCTAGAAAAGCACCGAAACATGCTCATTATTAAAATATCAAGATCTCCTAGTTACACTATGATTTTCAATTTAATTGAAGAATTTTTTTCAAAATTTCAAGTTAACTAGTTTCATTTCATTTCAGTCATCACCAAATTGGATTCTATTCCGTGTATTTACCTCCTAGATCATTTCTTTTGATCGACCCCGTGAAAATATTAGTTCAATACAAAAATTATTCAAACAATTCCCTCGCACTTGAACGTGATGTGTATGAATATATGAATTACGATTTATCTTAGTGTGTCTACTAAGCCTTTACATTTATCAAGCCTGAAGCGCATACATTCGTTTATGTCTTACTACTAAGTGAGATTACGTGTAGCTGCCTCTAATGGTTGTTTTCATCGATCGGATGCCTTAATTGAATATTGATCGGGATGAAATAAGACTCGAATAGCTTGGCCGAATCAATATTTGTCATGTATATATTCTTTAGGTTAGGCTATCGGATATTTCCATCAAAAAGTCATTAAAACAGTTGTCACCCAGTGAAGGAAATACTGATTAGAAAATACAGACTTGAGAGGCTTAATAGTTGTAAGGACGTGCCGTATTCATTAGTCCCTTTGGTTCCGACGTTTCTCTCTAATCACTGTAGCTTAAACAAGGCACACCTGTCCTTAAAGCTAGTTGCAGCAACACTACATCAATTTGAAACGTTTTTGAGACATGAATATATCCTTACAAGGAATTCCCATCAGATAGCAACGAATATTCTTAGGTAACACCTTTATTTCTCAGATTGCAAGATAAATTTCAAAGTAAAATTAAATTAAAAAATTAGTCACCTTTGTGTCTTTATCTTCAGTCCTCTAGTTTAAATCATTTAAAAAGCTAGTTAGCATTCAAGGAAAGGTTTCATAGTCCTGAAAATTCATCATCTGCAAAAATAATTTTCCAGTTCTATAGAGATAATGTTTAAAATATCAGTTTTCCGGCTTTGTATTAGGGATTTACACCTTAGGCCGTAGTGTCTCGTAGTTTAATGGACACTTCTTCGATATCAGAGAGGATCTGTTTTAATTTGAATGTTTGAGCTTATTTGATGTCTTTTCTTTGCTATCTCATCAATACGAGTTCTTTATAACTTTTCATTAACGATTGATACAGTCAAGAACAATAATTTCCTGTTCAATAAAATCGAAGAGAAAGAATAATATATTTTTTTGTCGTTTTAAAATGCAGTTTCGGTTCATATTTCCAACCAAAACAAAAAATAAAAGTTAATATGTTTACTTAGAATTGAAAAAATGTTGAGCTAATTTTAAATACACCTAAATTTAAATTCAAAGAAATTTTAATCTCGTCACATGGGCGTTTTCCATTAGTATTGATCAAAAAATACGGCTTGATTGTTTGCTACGAGAAAACCGAGTAGAAGATAGCAGGACTTTGATTCTTTTCATTTATTCCAAGATAATGAAACTTTAAAGCTTTAGCTATGGAAAACTGGAAACTCTTGTATCTAAATGCATTTAAAGTTTAGAGTTCCGACAAAAACTCAGAATCAGCTGTTACTGATGAAATTAAAATGCTAGGGTATCTCTCTATTGTATGTCCAAATATTAATATTTTATCATATAATAATAAGGAAGACACAGGGAGCCCTTTATTGATATAATGAATCCAAAATCATACAGATTCATAATTATCATTTCTTCAAAAAG